ATTTTTTTTTTTTTTTTTTTTTTTTGTTCTCCTCGGTTACAAATCATTAACTTACCCACAGGATCAGAGGAATCAACAATGATGGCATCATACTTCCCTTGCTTTGCATTCCGAAGAAATTCAACAGCTGATATTACAAAGATGCAAATAATATAGGAAAGAGCATAAGAAACAAAAAAAGGAATAAGATGTCTCGACTTTCGACGCACCATCACCAACATGAAGGTGAACACGAGGGTCCTCGAATCCAACAGCTAGTTGGGGGAAAAATTGTTTTGACACCTACGAATTAAGAAAGCAGGGAAATGAAGCATTAGGTCACAATCTTGAAACATACCACAGCAGCAAGTTGTTTCATTATGAACTTATCATACAATTCGCAACATGTCTCTAATGAACACTTACATTAATGACCATCTCATCTATCTCACAAATGTCGATGTGCTCCACCGAGTCATGACGAGAAATTTCCCTCAGGACTCCACCATCACCTCCGCCAACAACCAGAACCTATATAGTGTCATTTTATGTCTTAAAATTATGCAAAAGTTGGAAGAGAAAAAGAAAATTTCTTAATAAGAGATGGAATTGGCACAGAAACAAATTTTTGGGACGACTAACGGTTTTAGGAGACGGGATCGAACAAAGAGGAAGATGCGCTATCATTTCCTGGTAGGCACATTCATCTTTCTCTGTCAGTTGAACAATGCCATCAAGAACAAGGACTTTTCCATATGATGCAGACTGTAAACAAATAGAGACAAACAAGTAAAGTATTAATCAAGAAACCAAGCAAATGAATTGCGAAGGTAAAAACATTGTCTCAGCGAATGGTACCTCAAAAACCATGACCTCTTGGTACTCTGACTTTCCTTTAAATAGTATATTCTCTACTAGCAGAGAATGTGCTTCTCCTGAAAGGAACATTCAACTCCTTGTCAAGAATGAAAGTAAAATGAACTTCCTCAGCATGAAAAAGAGACCATTAACAAGAAATACAAGAAAGGCACTCACCCGGCCACATTGGGTTGTTGAAATAAACAAACTTGCTAGCTTTATCTGCAAAGGAAACGAGCGTAACTGATGTTAATTACCCACATGGTGAGCCACTGTTTCTAAAACAGAACCAAGAGCTTCACAAGGAGATTAAAGAAAAGGAGAATGACCAGAGCCAGGCTGAAATTCTGAAATCCAGCCAGAAACAACAGTTGAATGGCATTGAGCCTCAAGCTCAGGATCTGAAGCCTTAGCCTTCAAACAACAAGACGGAATGGCCTTATCTAAGCCATTCCCATTAGTCGTCTTCCCATCCATAATTGTCTGGCATTCAAAACTTCTTCCTGTGACGTCCTCCATGTATTATCGTTTTTTGTTCAATCTCCAGCCTCTGGAACATCAAGAATAGCACATCATCATAAAGATGGAGAAAGAAGATATGTGTACAAGAGACATCTTTTGAGTGACTCATGCTCTTCTACCATACATAAGTCGTGGGAAAGTAACAGATTATACATTTTGTAAGCATTTGCATCTTTACTTTCTGCAGATTCAAGATTTCCAAGGAAGAAATTGAAGTCACCAGTGGACAAATGAAATTATCGAACCTATAGCTTCGTTATGACTATATAAGTTTTTTGGCTTTTGGACAAATACATGTCACCCACTAATATGCTTTGTTAAATACCATCAAGAAAAGACAAAACCTATAACAAGAAATCCCATCAAAATAAGATCGAGGAATAATCATCAGCAGAAACAAATAAGCATCAGCAAGTTGTATAGGAAGTGGATTTACAGTAACTTAGATCACAACTCAATAAGCACAGTCACGCAGCTTTTTCCACAGTGTACAATGCAAAGCTTTTGATCACAGAAAAGAAAAAACTGAAAAAAAGAATGCTATCAGAATTATGTTAAATCTGGAGATAGAGAAAATAAATGATCTCTCTCGTTAACTTTTAGAGTTCTACCAGGTTTGAAATTTACTATAAGATCATGTAAGGTGACAAGAACAAAGGATAAAGTTTCACAAAGCCAGATCAAGAAAGATAAGCAAATGATATGACTGAAATCCATCGGAATAGAGAGCTTCAGACCCCTATGGAGAATAGGTATAAAAAAAAGAACTCATGAAAGTCATGGTAAACCTCAGAAGTGGAATCAAGGATATTATACTGGTACAAACAGAGTAGAACTAGTTCCATAAGCCAGACTGTTCATGATGAACCTTCTATTAACTCAGGTAAGCTCAACTGGATTTTAAGGTCCGAAAAGATAAGAGAAGTTTATTTTTAAAATGAAAAAGAAGTTCAGATTCCCCACGTTCTTTCAGTTCCCGCAGCATACTGAGCATGAACTATTGTTTACGAGTCGGTTCAACAAGAAAATAAAGATGGAACACAAAGACCACAAACCATAAAGGGACAAAATAAGAAAGCGTGTATCACTATCTTACACACACCGACCAATAAAATACGCGAAAGCCAAATACTTCCATCCGTCCTTCCTTCAATAGTTTCATGCTTAATTTTAGCTCTAAAAGGTGTTCAAACATCCAAATTTTGATTTTGTTTTTTTTTTCCCTTAAAAATTGCAGGGTTAGGAAATGACACGAGTATTAGAGTGAACAGAGAAAAGCAGAGCAGGTCGAGATCTTTGTGATGGAAACTGGAAAACGAATAAAACCCAAACATCAGTGATCAAGGTTTTGAATACCCCATTCCAGAAACAAAAGTAGAGAGCAGAGAAAGAAGAAGAGATTGAAAAGGAAAGGAAAGATTACACGGAAGGGTCGAAGAATGGCGAAGCGAGCGGGAGGAGAGAATCAGAGAGCCCAAAAGCCGGTGGTGAGAAATTGCAGGCAGTGTATGCGTGAGTGGCAGAGGAGAGAAGGGCGGAAAGGTTGGGTTTATATAGATGAAGACGCAGTGGGACTGGTTGGAGTAGCAGATGAAAATGAACACTGAAATTGACGAAGAACAAGAATATTATTACAAAATCAAAATTGGGTTTTACAACTTCCGATGAGGGAAGGAAGGAGCGTGAATTGTGAAGGGAAGTTCTCTTCTTTTTCTCTTCACTCTCCCGTCTTCTTTTTCTTCCGTTCCACTCTGTTGCACTGCTCTCTGCACAGTCTTCCATATCATTTTTATTCATCCTTTAAATAAATTGTTTTTAATTGATCCATATATTTCCTCTTTTTTCCAACTTTAATTATTTTGAAGATATGATATTTTTATTACTTTACTTTTTATTTTTCATTCAAGTATTATTTAGCATCTCTTCTCGATCAAAAAAGTTCAATGTTATTGTCATGTGAATGTGAAGGGAATCTTGATTCTAGAACAAACACCTATAAACATCTTTGACTCTAACCAAGCAAGTTTTATTGTGTTGGTTTCTTCTCTTACTCTATTTACATCTTATTAATGCCATATTCCAGAGCTAGTGTTTGTTTTTTAAGTTCAGAGCTACTAGAAAACAAGAGGAGGATTAAAAAAAAGACCAATCTTTTCTTTAAAAGGATATGTTCTTGGAAAAAGAAGGGAAACATAAGCAAAGCTAAAAAAGAGCAGAAAGGACCAAACGTTATAGTCCAAGTTGGGAGGTAAATATGTCATATTTGGCAACTCAAGTGTGAAGAAGAGAGTTGAAGTAGTAGGAAGGGAAGGCCTAATAAGTCCATGATTTTGAACCCCATTATTTGGAAACTTAGCATTCGTCTTTTGAACCAAAACCCAACAAACTCATCTTCATCCAATCATACCCATCCATGTACCATAATATTTCTTTTTCTTCTTGCTTGGCTTCCCCATCAATTCTCATGCACTCCTACCAAATGAATTAGATTGTCATAGAATTCCGATACCATTTCATGATTAACAATTAGGAACCATTCGATCTGCAAGAACTCCGAGCACTCGATAGCCATTTCATGATTAACAAACGACGTCGTTAGGAGAGTAATTTAGATTGGGCACCTTGTGATGGTCAGTCAGACAAGGGCAAGGCAAATCCCCATCCCTACCCAAGACGGCTCGACAATCGCCGCAATTGCCCACCACCCTCTCCCTCCTTACTGTTCACTTCATCGTCCGTTCCTCTAAAACCACCTCTCCATCAACCTCCTCCATTTCGCCTCATCCATCTCTCCCCGATCCGCAATCTCCTGCGCCACCCGAATCTCCACTTTCGGTTAATTCGCTGCCCCCGAGCATCTGTGGGGTTGCAGAGAAGTGAACGGCTGAGATTTAAGGAAACAAACAGTACTCGTTCTCTGAGATCCAAGGAAACAATGAAAGAGGATATTGTAGAATACACATTAAACTTCCAACTGCAAATAGTATTTCAACTTACCAAAACAAGCAATGACAGTAATATTATGCCAACTGTACATCATTATTCATTTTGCGGAATTTAAAACGCCTGTCAAAAAGAATACTGAGGAGACGATGAAACACCCACCAATGTTGTGTGTAGTACAATCAGCAACTATTACTTTCATTCATATTCCGTCATCATTATTCATTTTGCGGAATTTAAAACGCCTATCAAAATGAATACTAAGGAGACGATGAAACACCCACCAATGTTGTGTGTAGTACAATCAGCAACTATTACTTTCATTCATATTCCTTTACCACCTTTACCCTCTTGACATATAATATAATAGCCAACAACCCCAGCCAGCCTCAGGTTCTCTGAAATTGGCTTTTTATTCAGTACAAAAATATCAAATCTTCACCCCGAAACTCTTTTCATCCTTCCTTTCATCGTTACAAGAATAAGGAAGTTTTGACAAAGGCTTCATTGCCTATTTCATTACTGTGTGTCTGCTGCTGCTACTGCTTGTACTCCCCTGTTGCCTGTTGTTCTTGTAATCTTGGGACCTTGTCCCAACCCCTTCATACCCTCCTTCACCTACAACAACGTTCTTTTCTTCCTTTGACAGGTACTTGTCAACCTGAGCAGCTGCTTGACGTCCTTCAGAGATGGCCCATACCACGAGGGACTGGCCCCGACGGCAGTCTCCGGCTGCAAACACTCCGTCTACACTAGTTGAGAAACGGCCATACTCAGCCTTGAAGTTCGACCGGGCATCCTTCTCC